TCTTTTGGGAAAGCAAGGCTATGTGAAATTCAATGGAAACGTCAGCTCAACTCATATCATTGTGGGAAAATCATACTACCAGTCCTTCATCACCTTACACGAAATAGGGTGAATACATCTCATTACACTGATTTACTGGTAGTTTCGACTACCAGTCCTTCATCACCTTAGACGAAATAGGGTGAATACATCTCATTATGTGAAATTCAATGGAAATAGACGAAATAGGGTGAATACATCTCATTACACGAATTTCACATAGCCTTGCTTTCCCAAAAGGTGTCCTCATCCAGGGCGGATTGCAGTTTCGACCTCGCCTAAGTCTCATCAACATCCTCATCGGGACGTGAACCATGACAGTGCAGCGTGTAAATTCGGCGCGTTACTCACTACGCCACATCACCACGAGTGCTCTTGGGTCACAGAGCAGATGTGAATTCCAAGGAAGGCTAGGCATTTTTCCGTATCACTTTGAGTGGTGGGATCGCCGATGAGGCAAAGTTATATTTCCCCTGTGACCCAAGAGAGCAAGGATATGTGAAATTCAATGGAAGTGTAAGGTCCACTCACATCATTGTGGGAAAATTCAACTACTAGTCCTTCATCACTTTAAACGAAATATGATGAATACATCTCTTAATCCCCCTTGAGTTTACGGTGAGGCTCATTTACGAATTACTTTCACCCAGTCTCTTTTTTTGATGAATGGTCCAGGACCCGATTTATCCGTTTGAACCAAAAGAGGAGTGTTATCTTCCATAGCGCTCTTAAGCAGTGACCCAACCTCGAAGGGGTTCTAAGTATGGGACAATTTAGAAGAAGTTGGTTGAAGGAATATGTGAATTGGTCTCACCGGGAATCGAAGAAGGGTTGCCGCGGAGTGAACCCGAGCTAAACTTTCATCTGTCATGTGGCAGACATAATCAGAGCTAGAAACGAATTTTTTCTCGGTTTAGTATATTGTTGCGCTATTTCGTGATGTATGATTTCTTATTTTAATGGTGTCTGTCACATGCCAGATGAAAGCTTAGGGCTGGTTTATCGGAGTCGTAGGACGGTGGGCTTGGGACTTCTTAGCACGATCCCAAAGTCCTGACTTAAAGACTCTTTCTGTTTTCGATGCGTCGACTTAACGAATACCCCCAATCAACTTTTCCTTTTAACTGGAAAATCGAGTCACACATAACTACTCTTTTTCTACTTGTAGATATGCTGATCAATATGATATGGCCTCAGGTCAGATAACTTTTTAAGGTGCTGGCGTGCCTTTTATCTTGTCTAAAAAGGCGTGTGCGAGGGATTCGTTAACTGGCCGCATTGGAGACCGAAGAAGGGTGGTCTTGAAGTCGTAATTTCTTACCCCTTCTCTTCAAAAGAGATGAAAGATACGCCGATATCACTTGACTAAGAGAACCTTCGAGGCTCAGCTTCTCTTCATCTCTAAGACATTCGGCGAGCCACATCCTTCGTTCACACGTCGTCTCCACACTTCAACTCACGTTTGCAGAGTCGGCAATTGAGCTTTGCCCTGACAATAGAGCCTACTTGGGCCCTAAGCTCAAGGGCCCAGTTCGTATCCCGATTCAGGGCCGTCGTTGCCGTCGTTACCGTCTTTTGGCATTTGTCTGCCGCCTAAACCGCTGTTCGAGGTGACCCATCCTAATTCGAGCCTTTTACACGCCCTTGGTGGCGTGGCACTTATCCAACACAGACAGGCATACATACATACAGACATATGAACATAGATACCGACAGACGGGCATGCATACATTGACAGACACAGACACAGACACAGACAGCCAGGTATCCAGATAGACATCCATACATACAAACAAACATGCACAAGTATACACATTTTTACATACACAACTAAATAAGTGCAGACACATACATATAGACAGGAATAGCGCCAGACATCCGGATAGACATCAGACGTACGGACAGACGGACAGATAGACAGCAGAAAGTCAGACAGGTAGCCAAAATTCTGCTCGAGTGAATGCACACTCGTTCTGATTGGTTGGTTTCC